GAGAGTAAGCCAAAGGAGTTTCCTGTAGTGTGAGCGATCAAAAGATGTCATATGTATATTTTACTCGCTCGTTGGACCAGATGCAAACCAATTTTTGGAGACCACCTATTTTACTCTGCATGTCCGGTCTATATGTTTTTTGGTTAGTGGTACTAGTTAATTGCAATGAAATTGCAATATCGGAATTTTGATTGACCTGGGATATATGGGATCCGTGAACGGTCAATAGGCACTCGCGGCAAGTTTCGCGTGTGTCCTTTTGCGGATACTATTTAGAATGATTGTGCGTTCGCGTCGATCATCAGCGCCGACTACGATTTGGTTTAAGGCCTGAGACTACAATTGTCCTTTAATGGTCTTATATCACTCGTGTATCCTACCGGCTGCGCCAATTAAATAAGTCACTACGCGTTACTTGAAAAAAAATATCTTTATTAACAGTAGGCGCGACTTATTGGCATTTTACAATTGTACATATGTCACTATATATACATATATATAAATATATATATATATGTATTTACTACGTTGCGTGGCGTTAGTTTATCATATAGGATTTAATTTTGTAAAATTTTTCCGGCACCATTGATTTAAAATAAAATGACTGTGCTATTTCTTTTGGCCTTACACAATGTTCATTTATTTAAATTTAATTTTCAAATTTTTTTTCAAACCGCTGACCAAATCGAACTCTTTGCTATACATTTGGGCAGCAACATCATCGGTGCCGAATTTCGGCACACGCATACATATACGAGGCGAGCACCGTTGCTGCCCATCTGCACAGCTCCATTTTTTGGGTCAACGGCCCAAATGAAGGCCAAGGGCATATCCAAAGGCAGGCGATCCACTCTCCCTATCTATAATCACTTAAGAGCGAATCGGGCGGCCTATAGCAATCGCCCCTCTTGGCCGCCATCAACCGCCACAAGAAAACTCCATATGTTAATGGGCACAATGGCAAGATCCGTCTCCGTCGCTCTTCTGGCCATTCTTAAGGTATGCTGTGTGACAGATGCGGCGCAGGCTCGATTCTTCATCGTCCTGGGTCACCTGTCTCCGAAGCTCATATAACTACGTTCAGCATACATCCAACATTAACACAAAATGAGACTACCCCAATATCACCTGTTATCGCAAGATGCCTTTGTCATTGCGGCTACCACCAGGCTACGAAAAACGGTCGCGAACGCTTCGCCATCATGTGAACGTGACTTACCGCCATCAACCACGCCAAGAAAAACTTCTTATGCTCAGTGGTATTCTAGTAATCTCTGCCTCCATCGTGCTTGTCGGATTCCACTACACGCTGCGCGATCATGAGCCACCTACTCGTGCCACATAAGACATCAGCGGTGTGGATCCTAAAGCCAAGGGAAACTTTTCCTTGCACTTGCATTGATATTTTATTTATTTTTTTTTTAGCTCTGCCCCGACTTCAAAGAAGACGGGTGCTTCTTGAAAATTGGGCGCCATATTGTTACGTGGCTGCTTGTTTCTCGGCAGGCCGCGCCGGCTGGCTCATCGGTTCTCTGCGTCTAGTCCCATCCCTGGCCCGCAGTCCGCACAATCGATATCAACAAAGCTACAACGTCTATAGCAAAAAAGTCCTACACAACACTATTCAAAATGAACCACATAATCGATAACAACAAACAGTCGGAGCTTCTAACAAATGAACAGCTTCTAACACTAACAGCTGTAACAACAAGAAAATGTAAACAACAAAGGTGAGACGCTCGATATAAATTAAAAAAAAAACACTATTTATCCACTTTACTCTTCCAGATCGGGTCCCGGCTCCGGACCCAGCGTACCCGCCCTACCTTAGACGATCACCTAATCTCGTCTCCCTCATTTTGGCCACTAGATGGCCTGCATCAGCCCGTGTCGGCTGTTATGCCCACTGTCCCCATCAATTTAAACTTAACCGGGCATTCTTTTCCTTCAATATGTGCGTATAATTGGTCGTGTTTTCTTATAATTAATAACAATTAATATCATTTCTTACTGCATTTATCTTTGCAGCCATTTACAATCTCATGCAAGCGGACATTTCCCTCAACTTCACAGGTGCGTATAATTATTCGTGTATTTTTATAATTAATGATTACAATTAATGACAACGTGGGAGAACAAATATTATAAATATTAAATTGAGCGATTGGCTCCCCACACGTTCGCGCACGTATATATATATATATATATAAGTTACCACGCTGGTAAAAAATTATATGTTGTAAAGAAGCTTATATAAAATAGAGAAATTTCTAACCGCTTAAGTACGCTTAGCCTACCTAAAGAGCTCTCTGGGGCGCTAAGGGCGATGGAAATAAATGATTTTTTTGTATATATATATGTATGGATCGCGTGGAAACGAAATTACTTCGTTTTTTTCTTTTATTCTTCTTAGATGGCAGTCGCAATAGTGTTTGGGGACGTTCCCTCCCGTTACATGATTAATTGTTAGTTTTACCAGGTGAAATACGCAAAGTGAGAAATATTATTTAATTTATACAAAAACTTTAATCTATGAACAGGAAAAACAACTGCAGCTTGATGTCAGCAGCACGCTGTCTCTGGGCTGAGTCTGGGGAGGGGAGTGCTTGGAAGGGACTCACTTGACCATCGCCACGCTTCCCGACTTTGGTCGTCGTCGTCTCGCCGGCTGCAGCTCGGTCTTGGCGTCTCCTGTCTTCCTGCTTTAGGATGGCTATTCCTCGGCCCGGAAAATGTATGTTCGGCCCTCGGTTTGTCGAGTTTCATTCAAAGTTTCTCTTTTTTATCACAGCCTAAGATTTACTAATGCTCGACAAAGTAAATTAACGTTTTGCGCTGCTCGATGTATTTATATATATATATATATATATATATATATATATATATATATATTTACTACGTTGCGTGGCGTTAGTTAATTATATAGGATTTAATTTTGTAAATTTTTTCCGGCACCATTGATTTAAAATAAAATGACTGTGCTATTTCTTTTGGCCTTACAAAATGTTTATTTATTTAAATTTAATTTTAAATTTTTTTTCAAACCGCTGACTAAATCGAACTCCCTGCTATACATTTGGGCAGCAACATCATCGGTGCCAAATTTCGCCACACGCATACATATACGAGGCGAGCACCGTTGCTGCCCATCTGCACAGCTCCATTTTTTGGGTCAACGGCCCAAATGAAGGCCAAGGGCATATCCAAAGGCAGGCGATCCGCTCTCCCTATCTATAATCATTTAGGAACGAATTGGGCGGTCAATAGCAATCTCCCCTTTGGCGCCGTAGATCGCAAGCCCGGCGTTGCAACTCATCAATAAATTGGTCGTCGCTGTGTGCCCGGTTTCACTCCCGCTACTCTGCTCATACGACAAAAAAATATCGGCGTGGCTGGTAATATCACACGCGCAACCAACGAAGCAAACAAACGATGCTGCCGATAACGTCAAATGCAACAATATGAAGAATAGAAAAATGAGAATTTCTTAAAATCTGGCTGGACGATTTTTTTGATGTACAAAAGCAAAATTATTGATAATTCGCGATCTATGTGTCAATCTACATCATCAATCTACATCATCTACACCATTATCGCAGAAATTTATAAATATAGGTAGCAATATATTGCCACCGCTGCGATATTATACTGTATATAATTACAAAAATGCACTGTTGCCTTATTTAGCATTAGTATATTTAACCAAAGATAATGTTTTATTGTAAAATGCCAATTATTTCATATATTACATTATTTCTTGACATATACAAACATTTTTAATTAATTTGTTCCTGCTCAATTCTGTATTACATTATTCAACACTGATTCCAAGCAGTGGCTCGGTTCCCGTTGGAGCTAGTAGCTCGATGGGCATTTTGAAAGAACATTATGAGGTGAGTTCACATTTTATTATTTTTCTAAAAGACTAGCTGATCGATTTGCTTAGAATTAATGCATAAGGTTTCTTAAAACATGTATCTTCAAGTTGGTATAGCGTGCATTGAGGGCCATTATCCCTGAGAGAAGATATTAGGGTTTAAGTGCAAGGCTAATTTTTTACGGTCATTTTGGATGGGGCTAGCAACGAGGTTGCTTCACTGTTGTACAAATATCTTAAGAACGTGCTAATAGATTTTAATAATGTTTTCAAGATTGGTTAGGTGAAACTATAGGCTTTAATCGTGTACATTCGGTTTTTGGAACCATTATCCCTGAATGAAGATATTTAGAGAATGGTGGAAACCTAATTTTTCAACCCCTTGGTTTACCCATATTATAAGCTAAAATTCAAAAACAAATAAATGTAGACAATAAATAATTTAATAATTTGCAATTCTGCATTTAAATTTATTTGGTTTCGTGCTTAAAAATATAAATAAATGCATCTAATGTGCGTCAAATTAGCGGCGGTGAGTTAGCGTCGATTTTTGGTACTTGGTATCGGAAAAGGAATCGGTCACTTTTAAATGCATTTATTTATGTTTTTAAGCACAAAACCAAATAAATTTAAATGCAGAATTGCAATAAATTAAATTATTTACTATCTACATTCATTTATTTTTGAATTTTAATTTATAATATGGGTAAACCAAGGGGTTAAAATATTAGGTTTTCACCATTCCATAAATATCTAAATTTAGGGATGATGGCCCCGAAAACCGCATATACACGATTAAAGCCTATAGTTTCTCCTAGCCAACTGTGAAAATTTGATTAAAATCGTCGGTACCATTTTTAAGATATTTGGAAAAGAGTGCAACAACCCCCAAGTCAGCCCCATATAAAATGACCGCAAAAAATCAACCTTGTTTTCGAGCCCTTATTTCTTAACTCAGAGACAATGGCCCTCAATGCACGGTATACCCTCTTGTAGATACATATTTTAGGAAGCTATAGGCACTAATTTTAAGTAAATGGACGGTACAGATTTTGAGAAAATTAATTAATTGTAAACCAACCTCATATAGTTCATTAAAAAGTCTATCGAACTGCTAGTTCCTACGTGAACTGAATCACTGCCTGGCATCAGTGCTGAACAATTTTGTGCAGAACTGAGCGGGAACCAATTCAATTTGAATTATATGTAATCATGAAAAAATGGAAAGGACTCATAGTAAATTAAATTAATAAGTCTAAGCAAATTATATGAGAAGTACTAAGTCATACTTAATAGCGCAGTTTATGGAAAAATTGCATTTTTCCATTTTTTTCTTTACATCCTATGTTAATGCAAAAAAACATGCTGGCAATATTAGATATCATACTGTTAAATGGCAGCCATATTTTAAACTTTATTATTTAATTTCTCCGAAAACGGCCCCAAATGCACGGTAGTTGTGCATATAGAGCAAGATTTATCAATCATTTTGCTATTTATTTCATTAAAATCATCGGTACAGATTTTGAGAAATTCTCATTTTTCTATTTCTCTCATAACATCCTATGTTAATGCAAAAAAACATGCTGGCAATATTTCAACATATTTGAAATGGTGGCAATATTTTAAATTATCATTCAAGTTCAACAATGTATAAGTGTGATTTTATGATGGCTGATGTGCCACAAAAAAAAAAAATAAAAATTATTAAGCACCGCCAGCCCTCGCACTGTGCTACGCTCAAAAATAAAGTTGACCAGCAACAACTTTTGATAAGGGCGCAACAAAAAAAAATAAAAAGGTTGGAAAAAGAAGTGGCGAAATTGTGGCAGCATGTGGCGAAGCCGCTGCAGATGCAACAGCCGCCGCAGATGCAACAGCCGCCGCAAATGCAACAGCCGCCGCAAATGCAACAGCCATTGCAGATGCAACAGCCGCCGCAGATGCAACAGCCATTGCAGATGCAACAGCCGCCGCAGATGCAACAGCCATTGCAGATGCAACAGCAGGAGCCGCCTCAGCTGCCGCAGATGCCACAGACGCCTACGGCTCAACAGCAGGAGCCACCGCAGGTGTCTCAGCCGCTGCAGCCGTGGATGCAGCGGTGGATGCAGCCGTGGATGCAGCCGCAGCAGCCGTGGATACAGCATCAAACCTATTCGTATATAATGTTTGACTCCCAATAAACATATGTATATATATATTTAAACAGTCCCAAATAAAAAAAAAAACATTAATATTATGAATTATTAATTAAAATTTCCATGAAAAACATATATAAAAGCTTGTAGACGTCGTATGGAATTTGAGCCATTTTAAAAGAATATAACAACATTGATCTTGCAACGTACAATGAAATTTGTTTTAGTTTTTTGTATAATTTAAATCGCACATTTCCAAAAGTCTGCGTTCAATTTTGTACGAGCCACTACAGCAAAATTATGTGTCGCAACATAGATGAAGTAGTTGGTTTGGACAATATTGATCTCAGATCATTTTTAAGAAATGCCTTGGGTTGTGCATATTCCATAAATAATATTGGAGAATTAGAAAAATGGTTCCGAAATATTGCAATAATACTTCTTTCTCCATATGTTAATAATATTGTGGATGATGCCATTCATTATTTTGCTAAATATTGTGAAGAGCCATCCACATTTTATTTGATAGACAGTATAAAATTGGGAGAAAGTAAGGAAGTTGTCGATGATCCAACTTTGCTGTCCGTTGCCGAAAAAAGTCCATTTAAACTTAAGTTTCAAGAAATACGTACAAAAGTTACAGAACTTGTATCACAATATAAGAGCAACTTCTGTACGTCAAATATTTATTTAAGTCCAGAAATGCTGGATCTAATTTTAAATAAATACATTGTTTACGCACCTTTTTGGACCAATATTATAGGTACTTTTATTGATAAATCCAATAAAAGACCCAGTAATGGGCCTATAGAATCTTTCTTTAAAACACTTAAATATAGTGTTATAAAAACAAATAATAAAAACGGCTTAAAGCTAGGACGATTTATCCGTAAGCTGGATGAGTTGTCAAAGTCCATTGCTAGACAAGTTGAACTTGCGAAACCGGGTATTATGGAACCGTTTAGTGAAATAGTTGTTAGGCCTACAAAAAATAAATATAAATCAAAAACTGAGAAACGGTTCGATGAAATGTCTAACAAGCGAAAACTTTCCAAGCACAAGGAAAGTTGGAAAAAATCGCTTAATAAAAGACTAAAAGTAGGAATGTTTAAAAAAGATTTTTCTACAATATTAAAAATTCAAGAGCAATGTCATGAAGCATCCATATGCCATGACCATTCCTACATAATCGTAGAAAACAAATGTGCTTTTAAAATGGAAGGAAAATATAAAAGAGATTTGTCCATTTTAAAACAGCATAGTGAGTTAAACATTAATTCAGAACTGTACATTTTAAGTTGTGAATCATTGTTTAAATGTGTGCACGGCGATTCCAATTCAAGCCGTTTCATGCACTACCTTACTATTAAGGATTTATTTTCATTAAATGGCCGAAATTGGTTAACAAACTTCATTGTGGATGTTTGCTTAACAACTATTTTATACGAAAATGGAGAGGAGTCTTTTATAAATTTGCCTTGTCAACTTAATGATTATTGCTTTAACAATGAAAAGGATATTGAAGATGGTTTAGTAAAAAATTCCACTTTAATAGTACCTCATTGTTACAGAAATCATTTTTATATATTAATTATTAATCAAAAAAGACACGAGATACTATTTTTAGACCCCTTTGGCAATTCTCAAAGAACTCGTGTATTTAAAAATTATTATTTAAAAATGTTGCAACGTTTGAAGCCAAAAGTAAATTATTCAGTGGCTCAAATACAGCATGATGTGCAATCGGATGCCTACAATTGTGGCATTTTGATTTTACAATTTGTAGAAAGATATGTGTCAAACTTTTCACTAACAAATTTAAAGTCTAATGACTTATTTAGAAATGAAATGTTTGATAAAATTCTCAAATTTGGAGATTCATTAAATGATTTATGTTTGCACTGTTCGTTTAAAAGTAAAGGCCCTTTAGAATCTCGCTGCCGTAAATGCGATCGTTTTATATGTGAAATCTGTGTAAGAAAAGAACATAAAAATGATCAAAAAAATATTATTTGCAAGATATGTGAGCTTTGCTTAGATACCACCAGCTTAGATCCATACTTGCAAAGTGTTTTTGACAATGAGTGAGACCACACTCAAGAGTTGAGTAGAACTTCACGACATTGCTCGGTAGTTTCTATTTTGGCTCGTAATAAGTATTACCAAATATTTATATCGTTAAATATCAGCATGCAAATTTTACGATATATTTTGGTCCAGCTTTAAATATGCTGTGGTGCAGAATATGCGTCTAAAATATTTAAGCATGCCATATTATATATTAACACAAATACTCTTATTTAGATCTAACTTTATTTGTTTATTATATTGAAAATAGACGTAGTTGTAGTAGATAGTAGATGTATTTATAAATATTAAAAATTAGTAAGTACTAATGTAGTGTGGATTAGGCCTACTGGGGATACCACATTAAAAAAAACGCGCTGTTAATTCTACCTCAATGGTGGCGTGGAAAGAATTAAATAACATATTTTTGGTCCATTTAACAAACCGTACGTTTAACAAATGCATATTCGCAAACAAGTCAATAAATATTGAGGTTTTACAATTTAAAAACTTGCGACCAGTATGCAATTGCATTTATAAATTAAACAAACATGTTTTTAAATAAATATGTGGGCTTGTCTTTGGAAAAATGTATACATGATATACTTGTACAAGCTTAAAATTACTATTACGAACAGTTTTAGCTATTAACACAATTGATTTAACGTGGCCATAAATTCTTGTATACTCATTTCAGTATCCAAATTGTTGTAACCTGAAAGTGCTGCGCGGCATCCTTTCAAATTACTAACTAACTGAACTTCTCTGTTTAAGCTATCATGAAAATTGTGGTATTTTTTCCGAAAGCATTTTAATGTCGCTTCGACAAAGCTTGCGTCATTATTTAACTCAGACGGACAATTTGTAGGCTTATTAACACTATAATTAGAATTATTATTTTCTATGCTAGACATATCACTAATATTATTGCTAATTTCTAGTTTACAGCTTACATGATTACTACCATTAGATACGTCCTGGCGTTCTTTTGAGTAGGCAGCCTGAAACTGGTAAAACAACACACCAATTAGGGTTAAAAAAAATATTAAAGCTTTATGATTACTTACGCGTTTAAAACTTTTCGTAATAGCTTTTCGATTCTTAACATTATCTGCCAGTTGAAAATCTGTCCAATTTCGCTCTATAAACTTATTGTTAACAATAAGTAATATAGATTGAAAATCAGTTGGAATTAAATTTCCAACTGGAGATATTATGTTTTTGGCAATGGCTTCTGTTATGGCATCACGAAATCCAAGAAAGATTGTCCTTAAAAAATTTTGTATATATTAATGGTAAAATTAAATCGAATAAGTTAAACAACAATTTTATTATCTATTTTTAGATTTTAGTTTTAAAAACTCAGTACAATTCCAAAAAATTTTAAAAATGTATTAACGACTAAGTTATGTCAAAATTCATTCATTCATTTTCAATAGCTTTTAGGTAAAAAACGAGAAAGAAAGGCTATCTTCGGCACGCCGAAGATCTAATACCCTTGCAGACCCAACCTTTCCATAATGTTACATACGGCTGCACAAATACATTATACCCCTTTTACCCATTTTTAATGGGTTCAGGCTATAAAAACGCGAACACAATCAGTCAATAAATAAAATCTTACCGTTTTGCGTTTCCTGGAGCCATTTCAAACTTGTTAGATTAAAATATAAGCAAATAAATAACAAATGTTATAAATATATACATATGTTCAAATATGTATATAAATTTCATTTAAATTAAATAGCATGCAATGCAAAAGTGCCGCTATGTTAGGGGCTGCCAACTTACGAAGAAAGCTAACCTATGGGAACATAAAGATGCCACCTTGTAAAAATAAGTAAAAGTACACATGACGATGAATATTATCTAAACATGTTATTTATATAAAATAAATATTTTACATAGTTGTTAAAACATTCTACAATTTGTATTATTATCTGTGTATATATAAATATAGATACAAAATATAAATTTTTATTGTGAGCCCAATTACAAACTATTCATCGCCATGTATAAAAAGAGTGACCGATATTTTAATTATTCACTTATTTTCAGAGATTGTCAGTTTCGCTCGTTTATATGCTAGGCTTATAATGGGTTGGCAGGGTCTATTATAACGGCACTTTTATGTATTCAAGAAAACGGCGCAAATTCCATACGACGTCTACTAGCTTTTATATATGTTTTTCATGGAAATTTTAATTAATAATTCATAATATTAATGTTTTTTTTTTTTATTTGGGACTGTTTAAATATATATATACATATGTTTATTGGGAGTCAAACATTATATACGAATAGGTTTGATGCTGTATCCACGGCTGCTGTGCGGCTGCATCCACGGCTGCATCCACCGCTGCATCCACGGCTGCAGCGGCTGAGACACCTGCGGTGGCTCCTGCTGTTGAGCCGTAGGCGTCTGTGGCATCTGCGGCAGCTGAGGCGGCTCCTGCTGTTGCATCTGCAATGGCTGTTGCATCTGCGGCGGCTGTTGCATCTGCGGCGGCTGTTGCATCTGCAATGGCTGTTGCATCTGCGGCGGCTGTTGCATCTGCAATGGCTGTTGCATTTGCGGCGGCTGTTGCATTTGCGGCGGCTGTTGCATCTGCGGCGGCTGTTGCATCTGCAGCGGCTTCGCCACATGCTGCCACAATTTCGCCACTTCTTTTTCCAACCTTTTTATTTTTTTTTGTTGCGCCCTTATCAAAAGTTGTTGCTGGTCAACTTTATTTTTGAGCGTAGCACAGTGCGAGGGCTGGCGGTGCTTAATAATTTTTATTTTTTTTTTTGTGGCACATCAGCCATCATAAAATCACACTTATACATTGTTGAACTTGAATGATAATTTAAAATATTGCCACCATTTCAAATATGTTGAAATATTGCCAGCATGTTTTTTTGCATTAACATAGGATGTTATGAGAGAAATAGAAAAATGAGAATTTCTCAAAATCTGTACCGATGATTTTAATGAAATAAATAGCAAAATGATTGATAAATCTTGCTCTATATGCACAACTACCGTGCATTTGGGGCCGTTTTCGGAGAAATTAAATAATAAAGTTTAAAATATGGCTGCCATTTAACAGTATGATATCTAATATTGCCAGCATGTTTTTTTGCATTAACATAGGATGTAAAGAAAAAAATGGAAAAATGCAATTTTTCCATAAACTGCGCTATTAAGTATGACTTAGTACTTCTCATATAATTTGCTTAGACTTATTAATTTAATTTACTATGAGTCCTTTCCATTTTTTCATGATTACATATAATTCAAATTGAATTGGTTCCCGCTCAGTTCTGCACAAAATTGTTCAGCACTGATGCCAGGCAGTGATTCAGTTCACGTAGGAACTAGCAGTTCGATAGACTTTTTAATGAACTATATGAGGTTGGTTTACAATTAATTAATTTTCTCAAAATCTGTACCGTCCATTTACTTAAAATTAGTGCCTATAGCTTCCTAAAATATGTATCTACAAGAGGGTATACCGTGCATTGAGGGCCATTGTCTCTGAGTTAAGAAATAAGGGCTCGAAAACAAGGTTGATTTTTTGCGGTCATTTTATATGGGGCTGACTTGGGGGTTGTTGCACTCTTTTCCAAATATCTTAAAAATGGTACCGACGATTTTAATCAAATTTTCACAGTTGGCTAGGAGAAACTATAGGCTTTAATCGTGTATATGCGGTTTTCGGGGCCATCATCCCTAAATTTAGATATTTATGGAATGGTGAAAACCTAATATTTTAACCCCTTGGTTTACCCATATTATAAATTAAAATTCAAAAATAAATGAATGTAGATAGTAAATAATTGAAATTTATTGCAATTCTGCATTTAAATTTATTTGGTTTTGTGCTTAAAAACATAAATAAATGCATTTAAAAGTGACCGATCCCTTTTCCGATACCAAGTACCAAATCGACGCTAAGTCACCGCCGCTAATCTGACGCACGTCACATATTATATGATTATGCGACGATGTGTTTGCAGTAGGGTTGTTTTTTCTGTGTCACAGTGACTTCGACAGTTACAAAACATACCAGTTACAAATGGCAGCGACTGTTACTCGACTTTTGAGCGCGCCGTTTTTAATTAAAAAAATATATAGAAAAAAACAAAATAATTATGTTATGCTCTTTATTAATTTTTTTTTATATTATATTGATATATTATTATCACTATATATAAAACTGTTTGTCCTGACTGACTGACTGACTGACTGACTGACTGATTGGTGATCAACGCACAGCTTAAACCGTAAGAGCTAGGAAGCTGAAATTTTCACTGTAGCTTCCTTATTTGATGTAGGTGCACGTTAAGACGGGGTTTCGGGAAATTCCACCCGCAAGTGTGGAAAAATCGCGAAAAACGTTTGTATGTAACTTTTGTGTTTACCATCCGATCGGCCTCAAACTTATTTTCAAAGATCTTTGTTCAAATTCATTTGAGGGGTGTTTCACACTTTTCGAAAAATCCGTTCCTCCTTGGTGGAAATGGAGGTCAAAGATTTGGTGGGTGACGTTTCGCGCCTAAATTCATTTCCAGAGATCTATAAGAAAAATCATTTGAGACGTGTTTCACACTTTTCGCAGAATTAAAACTTTTTTGGGGGAATGCGATTTAAAGATTTTTTGGGTGAAGTTTTAAGATGTGTCCGAATTGCTTCAAACTTATTTTCAAAGCTCTACATAAGAACTTAATATATACGTATTTCAGTGATTTGGGAAATTCCACCCGTAACAGTGGTAAATTGGAGGAAAATGTTTGTATGAAAGTTATTTGTTTACCGTCCGATCAGTTTCAAAATCATTTCAAATTTGCTTGAGAACATTGATTTTATAACATACGTGCCACGGGCAAGGCCGGGTTATACCCGCTAGTTATATATTAATTTAAAATAGATTTTCGTTGGAATTTAGGAAAATTAGCATTTGGACCTCATCGTCCCTTATTCGTGTTCTACGATCTCACAATAAAAGGCCAGCTTGAGTACAGGCCAGTGACACAGTACGCAGCTCACCGAAGGGTACAAAAGGAACAAAAAGTATAATAATAGGCAAGCAGCAACCATAAAAATTAAAAAAAATGCATGTTTTTGAAATGTATAGAAAATGCTGAAAAGTATATCTATAACGTATCTATAACATTGATCCAGTCATTTGTCATATCGTCGTAGTTAACTCTTAGTGAAATTTTTGGTGTCAATCTTTTGAGTAAACAACGACCAATAAGTAGACCCTTGCTTAACTATCCGTGCATGACATAGGATGATTTTTTGTCGCTGTTACTTTTGAAAGGTGTAACAGCAGTAACAAGTTACTTTTGAATACTGATTACTTGTTACGGGTTGTATAAATATAGCTCATCCCTAGTTTGCAGCACAATTCAAAGTTGATCATGGAAAGGGATACTTCGTTTGTCAATATTAGTGTGTTATTTTTTGCAAAAAGTCGCGAATTAGCAAAAACTTCTCGAGCTGAATTTACTGTTAAATCTGTGGTCATAGCAAGGAACTTGCTGAATCAATTAATAGATCGCTTCAAATTGAACACGATAAGCAACAATTTGATTCTAGCTCACAACGAAAACTATATTGAAAACCTGGACGCGGAGATCAATTTACATAGAGGAGACGAGATTGCTGTAATTCCGCCTATAAGTGGCGGGTAATAAGATTGGTTCTACCATGGACCACATTCAATTATTTAAAGACAAGATTGACGTTAATCTTGTCCATCAACTGTTAATCGATCAAAGTTGCGGTGCTTGTTCGGTTTTTCTTGGCACAACACGTGACAGTTTTGAGGGAAAAAATGTATGATTTTCTTTTTGTTCAATGTCATAATTACGTCATATGTACATACTTTGTTCTACGAGAATATTGACAGTCAACACTTAAATTACTAATACTTTAGACAATAGATAAATTTCGTAAATGTTGGATATTGTACACATAATATTCATTCTATTAGTTACTATATATCGTCTGATAAATGTGTATTAATCTATAGAACTCCTCTTGACCAATTAAAAGAAAATACAAATTTCTGATATAAAATATTGACTTTCGACCAAAACACACGATAATTTTTACATTGACTGTACTCTGATTAAACAAAAAATTAACCAATCGAGGCAAGTGAACAGTTCTTACCGAATTATGTATAGTAACGATTACTAGCGATTAAATTATGTGCTAAAAAGAGTCAGTTTTCTCGTATTGTTCTCCAATGGCTGGGCCAACTGAATGCCTCCGCAGACCCAAAGCAACGACAACAAACTAAATCAGTCGTCACGATTGATTTTATATTGTAGAGTAAATTATATACCCTTGTAAAGGGATTATAATTTGTCATAAAATTTGAAACGGATAGAAGACATCTCCGACCCTATAATGTATATATATTATAGATCAGCATCAACAGCCGAGTTGATATATCCATGCTCGTCCTTCCGGCTGTCTGTTTCGCTGCGAACGAGTTCCTCAGCTTCCGTCTTGAAAACTTGCATACTTGCAGAACACATGTATGTCGAATATATAGCGGCCAAAGGGCCGATCGGTCGAAAAGTAGGTTCAAAATATTCTGTTTTCCTTAGCAAGCGTCACTATTCTTACATATTTTTTATACCCTGAACCCATTGAAAAAAGGTAAAAGTGTATAATGTTTTTGTGCGACTGTATGCAACAGGTAGAAGGAAGCATCTCCGACTCCATAAAGTGCATATATTCTTAATCAGCATCAATAGCCCAGTCGATCTAGCCATGTCCGTCTGTATTTATGTCTGTCCGTATGTATGAACACAAGGATCTCAGAACCTATAAGAGCTAGAGACTTGGAATTTGGTATGTAGTGCCCGCACAGTACGAGTTTGTTTCCGATAATCGATAACTTGTCCCATTTTCAAGTAATCGATAAAAATCGATTTCGATATCCTGTTTTTTGAGCAAATTTGCTAAATAATCAGAGATAGAGCCACCGAACTTGACATGTATCTTCTAAAATAGTATATATATATATATATATAGATATAATAGTATATATATCTCTATATATAAAACTGTTTGTCCTGACTGACTGACTGATTGGTGATCAACGCACAGCCCAAACGGTAAGAGCTAGGAAGCTGAAATTTTCACTGTAGTTACCTTATGTGATGTAGGTGCACGTTAAGACGGGGTTTCGGGAAATTCCACCCGCAAGTGTGTAAAAATCGCGAAAAACGTTTGTATGTAACTTTTTTGTTTACAATCCGATCGGCCTCAAACTTATTTTCAAAGATCTTTGTTCAAATTCACTTGAGGGGTGTTTCACACTTTTCGAAAAATCCATTCCTCCTTGGTGGAAATGGAGGTCAAAGATTTGGTGGGTGACGTTTCGCGCTCAAATTCATTTCCAGAGATCTATAAGAAAAATCATTTGAGACGTGTTTCACACTTTTTGCAGAATTCACACTTTTTCGGGGGAATGCGATTTCAAATTTTTTTGAGCGAAGTTTTAAGTTGTGTCCGATTTGCTTCAAACTTATTTTCAAAGCTCTACATAAGAACTTAATAAATACGTATTTCAGCGATTTGGGAAATTCCACCCGCAACAGTGGTAAATTGGCGGAAAACGGTTGTATGAAAGTTGTTTGTTTACCATCCGATCAGTTTCAAAATCATTTCAAATTTGCTTGAGAACATTGATTTTATAACATACGTGCCACGGGCAAGGCCGGGCTATACCCGCTAGTATAATATATAAATATATAGATATAATAGTATATATCTATAATATATAATGTTGTATTTGGAGACCTTTCCATTTTATAATTGTCTGTTTGGCTGGCTCGAGTCCGGCGTTTTTTTATCCAAGGCAAAATGAAAACGCAATTTGTTTGAATTTTACCAATATATTTCGGCTGCACTTCGGCAACCGTCTTCAAGGCACTAACACAAAAACAAAAACAATTAACATTAAGATACATTAAATAAAATTAAAATAATTACTTAAATATTTTAAAAAATTTTTAAAAAACACATTGTTTTACACGCCTGCGCTCTTTGTCGTGGAGATTAAAAATGTTTGAATTCTATCAACAGCATTGCAATTGCGATTGTATTATTTTCTGTGCTGCTATTTGAATACGTTTTTTTCTCAATAAGACTTAATTATTGGTGTGGCTATTGAGGAGAGGCGGCGAAAATTAGCGCGGTCAGTTACGAGTTCGAACCCTGCTGAGGAAACTTTGTTTTTATTTTTTTTGTCTGGTATGGCTGTTGCATAGAGGCGGCAGCAAGTAATGCGGTCAGTTGCAAGCTCAAACCCTGCCAAGGGAACTTTTTTTTATTTTAATTTATCTTTATTCTTACTAAAGCAAACGATCGCGAGCTGCATTCGGTGTATATAAGAATATGAGGGTTCAGGGTATCCCCTAGTCGGGAGCTCCCGACTATAACCTCTCACTTGTTTAATTTATTTTTATTATTACTAAAGCAAACGAGTGTGTAGCGCGATCTGCATTTGGTGTTGGAATTAGAGGGTTCAGGGTATCCCCTAGTCTTGCTTGTTTATTTCTAATTTTGGTGTGTAATGTTTACATGACTTTGATTAAATTCATATTCTACGTTTAAATGTTTAAACCTTTGCATATACATATTTTTACACACATTTTTACACCATATACTGTTGCCTTGATAACTCTATCAGCAAATATCTCTGTTGCCGTATTATTTCACAGTGTAGAACCCATTGAAAATGAATAAAAATAGCTTAAAGTTTTCGTTCAAATAAACGTAACAGGAAGCTAAAGTCATATCAAATGCCGAGCCAAAGACAATGTAAACACTAATATGAGTAACGACTATACCTTTGAACGCAACGAAAAATGTTTAGTGTTGTTTTTTATGTTGCTTTTCGCACTTAAATCGCAGATGATGCTCTGATCCGTTTCGCTTCTGAAGTAAATTGAAAAAAACCTTTTTGCTTTAATGAAATTGTAAAGGCAGACTTTAAAATAAAATATTATTTTTTAACAAAGCCCGCCTTGTGCAATAACTATCATCATTAACTAGGAGAACCTACATTCATAGGGTCTGAGATCGACGGGTTCCTATATACGGAGAGATAGAGATGGCTTTCTTGACTCGGCTATTGGGGCTTAGCAAGAATATTTAAAGGTTTTATGGGGTCGAAGATGCTTTTTTGGCCCTTTTAATGAATGGATTCATTGGATAAATATGTTTGACCTGAGATACTGATTCCCAGACCCTTAGAGCTAGGAAAATAAATTTTTACTTGTTTTCTATGGTGCTTACTCTGACTTCCCGTTCGATTTTGCAATGTTAATCAAGACTTTTTTGTCCTATGTCGATTAACCCTGTTAGCAAATTCGATGATATTTTAATTATAACTTGCATTCGTTCCCTTTGTTAGGGTATGCTCTTCAGCGGACAAATGCATTCCCGTGGCATTACAAATAAAACAAGAGTGCTCTAATCGGGAGTACACGACTAAAGGAAAATCTGAACCTTCTTCCAAATTTATATTGCGCTAATGCTTTGCACTAGCTGCCGCAAAAACGTGGCCAGCCAATACACGTATTGTTTAATAACTTCTGAGTTTCTAACTTGATCTTGATTAAATTTTCAGCAGTAGATATTGTGTTAAAAAATATTCGTATATTTTTGAGTGGACAATAGGTGGTGGAGGCGGGGTGGCAATAGCTATGTAACCGGCAGAAGGAAGCATCTCCGAACCCATAAAGTACATATATTCTTGATCAGCATCTGCGACCCCATAAAGTATATATATTCTTGATCAGCATCTCCGACCCCATAAAGTATATATATTCTTGATCAGCATCAACAGCCGAGTCGATCTAACCATGTCCATCTGTCTGTCCGTCCGTCCGTATGTATGAACGCAAGGATCTCAGAGCCTATAAAAGCTAGAGACTGAATCGGCTGAAATTTTAGCTGTAGGTCCTCCTAGTGCCCGCGCAGATCGAGTTTGTTTCCGATAATCGATAACTCACTCCGTTTCCAACTGATCGATGAAAATCGATATCGAAATCCTGTTATTTGAGAAATTTTGGTAAACAATAAGAGTTAGATTCACTAAATTTGACATGGATGTAACAGGCAGAAGGAAGCATCTCCGACCCCATAAAGTATACATATTCTTGATCAGCATCAAAAGCCAAGTTCATCTAGCCACATCCGTCTGTCTGTATGTCCGTCCGGCCGTCCGTCCGTCTCAGAACCTATAAGAGCTGAACTTTTTAGCTGTAGGTCCTCCTAGTGCCATCGCAGATCGAGTTTGTTTCAGATAATCGATAACTTGCCCCGTTTCCAAGTAATCGATAAAAATCAATATCGAAACCCAGTTTCTTTGACGATTTCGGTAAATAATAAGAGCTGGAGTCACCAATGTTGACATGTATCTTCTAGAATGGTATATATATATCAAGTATCTTTAATTTTATTGCTATCACCACCTCCTTGCTACTACATCATAGGTATTAATCAAATAAATAAATAAAAATTAGCCACAATTTAAATACAATTGTTTTTTTGAGAATATACAAATATTCTATAGCATAATAAGGTATACTGTAGAAAAGACCGGTTAAGAAACACAGCGTTTCGGGCAGCAAAAGCAAATCGCAAGAATTTCTTTATACATGTACACACACACATTCATGCGCGTCTTCTTTGAATTATATCAACAGCATTGCAATTGCGATTGTATTGTTTTCTGTGCTGCTATTTTATTTGTGTCTCATTAATACTCAATTATTGGTGGGGCTGTTGAGTAGAGGCGGCAGCGAGTAATGCGGTCTGTTGCGAGTTCGAACCCTACCGAGGAAACTATTTTTTTTTTTAATTTATTTTTCTTATTCTAAAGCAGTGTTGGAAGAAGAGGGTTCAGGGTATACCCTAGTCGGGAGCTCCCGACTAGAGCCTCTTACTTGTTTATGATCACATTTGCATATGCAACAGTATATGTATATACTACTATATAATTGTTTTCTTCATAAATACAGGTTATATCATTGGAATATGAGGCTTATGAGAACATGGCTTTAAAAGAAATGGGTAAAATCTGCACTGATTTACGAGTTCGTTGGCCAAGCCTTAAGCATATTGTGATGTATCACCGACTCGGAATCGTTCCTGTGAGCGAAGTTAGTGTAGTAATTGCCGCATCTGCACCCCATCGTGTAGCTGCATTGGAATCTGTCAACTTTGCTATAGATCAACTAAAGTCACGTGTGCCTATATGGAAAAAGGAATTATATGAAAAAGACCTGATCGGAGAGTGGAAGGCAAATGTCGAGTGCCCTTGGCCCCGTAAGACACTCTAAGTTTTTTATTTGTATGAGACACATTTATTGTTACAAAAAAAGCGTTTTATCTTTTTCCTAATATACAACAGAATATTCAAAAACACCTTTAAGGACTTTCGAATTCTTTTCTTGCAAAATTGATCAGAAAAATGAAAATATTCCAGATAAATTAGTACAAATCAGAGTCGATGACAGCGAGTTAAACAGACGTGTGAAATGTTTTTTAAAAAGGAAACGGGATGAAATTAATCTATATAATATAAATGACTTTAAGCAGTTGTCGACCAATGCTGAATGGCCAGATAGCTCAGAATTGACGGTAAAATATTCATGCGCCCGTACTCAAAGTTCGCTTGTAAAGCAGCAACAATCAACAAGTCACTTAAAAGGTAGTGATGTAAAAACCATTAATGTATTAAATTATAAGTAATATTTTTGCTTTTATAGTACGGCGTGAGATAAACAATTCTGGACCCCCCGTGCGACCCAACTATTCTTTCCAACTAAATAAGCTGACGACTGCACAGCACTATAATAATAATTCGTTTGAAAACAACCTACTAAGAAATTCACGTCTACGTAATATAGAAGACTATATGTGTGTAACCTCGGACGACGACAATATTTTAAATCGCATTAAAAATATAGAAAATAAAATATTGTTGTTAGAATCCATCTCTCCAGAATACAAATATTTTGTAAGTATATTTATAGATATTTACTAAATGTTTATCTAATCGAATTGTTATATATGTTTCTAGATACAGTTCGGAACGGATTTGAAAAGAATTTATCATAGAAAGGCCAAAAAAGAAATTTACATGTCGGATAGATTGAATGAATTTATTAGTATTTTTAAAAAATAATTTGGACGATAAAATTTTTAAATTTTAATTTACAAGAATTTGTACGCTTGCGATTTTGTCTCAAAATCTTCAAAGCCATACATAAAGGAAATAATTTGTTCACCATATGTAACTATATTTGGTGGTTTATAAGATGGGATTCGACGGTCGACATATATGTACCGTCACCGAAAAGTAAAAAATCGACCTAGTGTGATAAGAACACTCTTTAAGAAAAAGGCCAGCACGTCAGTGCTGTTTTGTATCTTTGTTCAGAATGGATTTATTTGTATTTAAAATGATGCGCTTAGCATATGGATAGACATATGTACTTATGCTGTTATCGGTTAACAGCTACAAAGAGAGGGAGAGTGAGTAGCTTGCATATGCCTCTGTTAGTGAGCATAATATTGGTCATGAAATGCGCTCAGACGGAGCGTGGGATATGCAGTGTAAGCATAAACGGTCAGCTAGTGAGGCTAGTGAATCGCGCTGCGTAATATGAGACAGAGCCAATACATAAAGTGGCTCTGGGCCTGTTTACTGCTTGTTTAGATATAGGGTGTTCTGTTAAGGCATATACACTATTGCGCTATCGAGCTTTTTCAATAGCTTTCACAAAAAGAAATAATTAACTTTATTTTACTTCTTGTGTTCAAATTTGTTTGTATATTTATTATAAGTTACGATAAGCAGGCAGACCCGAATTGGTCTGTGCTTATTATTTAAGAACAATAGTTTTACAATGGCAACCGAACCCGAATTGGTTCGTGCCGATTTTAGCGAAGCGATAATTGCGACAAATTAATATGTTTTTATAATGCAAGTGGCCGATGCGTACCAAATGCACGAAGCGAACGAACTTAACTAGACTCGACGCACAGCATCGAGGCTTTCGCAATAGGTAATGTTAGGGCAATAAATGATCGTTACAGCGAAGAGCGCCAGCTAAATGTAAATAATCTTAAGAGCGAAATTTAAGCAGTTGCTTCGCAGAGCAAGTTCGACAAGATAAGAAGACGATGCTGCTCTTATCAGTGGCGAGGTCGCTTCG